GGTATTAAAGGCATGCAGCACCACTGCCTGGCTTTATTATCCTTTCTACTATTAACTAAACCACACTGTTATTAATACAATATTAAGCTATAGAAAATGTTACTGTTATGAGTGTAATGCAGTGTTGGTAAAGACAAAGGTAGTTTAACATTAAAATATTTAAAATAGTTAATATTAACCAGTGAGATAAGCGATAATATAGTTAGTATGTGAGGTTTTTCTTTTTAAAAATTTTATTTATTTATTTATTTTTGTAATTATGTCTGCTTGTGTGTGGGTTTGTGTGTAGTGCCCATGGAGGCCAGAAGAGGGTATCAGATTGCCTGGAGCTGGAGTTACAGGCAGCTTATGTGTGGTAGGAACTACATTTGGTTCCTCTGCAAGAGCAGTACATGCAGCTGCTGAACTACCAAGTTGGTAATTTTTAAAGTAAGTATATTTTTATTTCTCCTCAGTGAATAGACAGGAAATTCTGAGGTGAGATGTTGGTATCAGGTCTCATTTTAGTTTCTCTGGAATTTTATGTGAGGACTAGTTGTGATTGGTGGAAATTAGACATTTGTTTCTCTTGTAAAGCCAAAGTGGAGTGTGCAGAAAATAGATTGGTGGCTCTTTAATAGGTTAAAAATTGATTACTATGTTGCCCAGACATTGCATTTTTGAGTACATGTATCCCCTCCAAGCTGAAACCAGGTGCCCAGGTTGTCATGGTGGCATATATCCAATACTTAAGAGACTGAGGTAGTAGGATTAGCATGAATTAGATACTAGCATGAACTACAAGTAGATTCAAGACTAGCCTGGGAGGGGGTGCTAGAGAGATGGCTCAGAGGTTAAGAGCATTGCCTGCTATTCCAAAGGTCCTGAGTTCAATTCCCAGCAACCACATGGTGGCTCACAGCCATCTGTAATGGGGTCTGGTGCCCTCTTCTGGACTACAGGCATATACACAGATAGAATATTGTATACATAATAAATAAATATTTTTAAAAAAGACTAGCCTGGGTTAAATAGCAAAACTCTATCTCAAAGAAAGTAAGACAAAACAAAAAAGGTATTCAAACAAAACCTTGTACACAAATATTAATGACAGCACTGTTTATAGCAAACCATGGTAGCAGTCTAGATATCCATGATTACATATAAGAAAAATATAGTATATTTACACAAGATATTACACCATAAAAAAGAATAAAGTACTTAAACATGGATGAACATTGTGTTACACGAGATAACCCAATAACAAAAAGACCACAAATTATTCCATTTATATGAATATGAAATTGGGAAATCTGAAAAGACTGAAAACAGATTGGAGGCTACCATGTAGGGGAGAAAGCTGGTGGGAGGAAGGAAAGAAGAATAGCTACTTAATGGGTTCGGTGTTCTTTGGGGTGATGTAATGTTTTGTATCTAGAGAAAAGTAGCAGTTGTATAGCATTATCACCTCCTAAATGTCAGGAATGGCAAGTTTCATGCTGTTTATACTATACTATGATAAAAAAAATAGAATGTCCTATTTTTGCAAAGATTTCCTAATTTTTCTTGTGAAGTTTGTTGAAGTTTGGCAAGATGATTCAAATCCTAAAGAACATGAGAAATGGAGGGCAAAACAGTAGCAGCTACCATTTGGATGTCTGAGTGGTAAGGCCTGGGCGTCTGGGTAGAGATCCTAGGGTGAAGACCCACCCCTCACTTACAGCAGCCACACAGGCCTACTGCAGGTCTCTGGGGCTGGGCCTCTGTTTCTACTCTGGGGTGGCTTGGTTGTGACACCTTTACATAAAGTCATGGAATGTTGTGGGATACTGAGCTTTTTAAAACAAGCATAGAGGGAAACCAACAGATACAAATTTGAGTTGCAGTGAAGCCAGGATGGATAATTTCAGCTTATGCAATAAAAAGGAAATAAACTTTTATGATCTGGAGGTGCTATAATAAGTTTAGTTAAAGGTGTGTGGAAAATTTCTAGCTACTGCTGTGCATAGTTTTCCTTCCTTCCTTCCTTCCTTCTTTCCTTCCTTCCTTCCTTCCTTCCTTCCTTCCTCCTTCCTTCCTTCCTTCCTTCCTTCCTTCCTTCCTTCCTTCCTTCCTTCCTTCCTGTTATGGTAGTATGCCACTTACTCCTCTTCATGCTGTGTTTTACTTTCAAATACTTTGAATTTCAGATAGTGAAAAGGATATTTTCATATTGCAGAAACTCAAAAAAATTTAAAATATATTTTATAAAAAGGAAGAAATACAAGATAATGTCCTTGAGGTTTTGGCATGTATGTGTGTCCATAATTGTTGTTTTTCCCATTATTATATGTTAATCTAGATCTTGAGTTTTATTGGAATCATTTTATGCTTATCACAGAGCATCAGCAATAGTATCACTGCTACTAGTAATTATTAATGGTATTTCATTTTATGTATGTCATTATTCCATTACCAGTGCAGAAAATGACCCAGGTCTCTCCTTGAAAACCGTTTCCCATGTTCAGTTGGTTTTCTGTCAAAGATGCTTAGTGACTCAGAGTTTCCAAAATTGTGTTAACTAATTTCAGTTTTCAAAACAGAGGTTAGTAAAATGTCTTAGTCCACTTTTCTGTCTCTATAACAAAATGCCTGGGACTTGGTAGTCTACAAAGAAGTATGTTTGGCTCAGACTTCAGGAGGATGAGAAGTCTGAGAATGTGATGCTGCTATGTTATTACTGTATCATGATATGACAGATGGGTTCATATCATGGCAGAGCAACTATGCTAGCTCAGGCTCTGTTCCTTCTTTAATGAAGCTACTAATAATGCCTTCTTGGTAGCCCATCCTCATGAGTTTATCTAACCCTAATTCCCTCTTCATATACTAGTAGCTTGAATTTGGAGATTTAAGTTTTCAACCCATGAATTTGCAAACAATAGAGTGGACTGCAAAGAGAAAAGACCGTACAAAGTCAGCTCGGGGCTGGGAATCATTGATAGAGTTCTTGCCTAGCATATGTAAGGAACTAGCTTTGATCACTAGCTCCACAAACATATAAAGTTCAGCTCAAATCTCATGTCCTTCAAGCAAGTTTTTTTTCTAAACCTCTCTTCTCTCCATCCTCTCTTCTGTCCGAGATGAAGAGTGCCTAGTGTAGTCCACAGAAGCATAGGCTTTGAGGCTGGATGGTTGGGTTCACATTTGAGCTTTTGGAAAATTGATTGAATTCCTTAATATTTTGGTACCTGCATATTCTCATCTGTAAAATGAGTACCAACCTTTTAGGTCAGGTGAGATAATCCATGCCAAAAGTATCTGTAACAGAGGATCTGGCATATAGCTAGTGTTCAGCAAATGGTAGGAGTTGTTATTACTATTACTTCATTCATTTGGTCTTGCTAGCTTGTGCTTTTGAGAGCTCATTTCATGCTTGGACAGTATAGAGTCAGAAAAATTCAGATGCAAGTGTGCCTTTCATAGGGTTTCCCACAAGGTTATCCCTTGCCAATATTGATTGGCCTGAATTACTGACACTGATAGATCCTTTGTGTTGAATTTGGCCTTCAATAAAAATACAAAAGCAAAGCAGGAAAGCTCAATAGCCTAAGCTGTATATAAAATGAAGTTCATTTGGATAGGGGCAAGATCATGGATCCAGAATAGGCGATTTCTGATTAGGATAACCTGGCATTCATTCATTCATTCATTCATTCATATATTATTATTCATTTTCCCCCAGCCCCTCCCATGACTGTATGTGTGTGTTTGATACAGGGTCTCTCTATGTAGCCCAGGTTAGCTTTGAACTCCTAGCAATTCTCCTGCCTCAGCCTCCCAAGCCTTCCAAATGCACCACCATACATAGCTTTCTGAGATCTCTAAATGATAGTGATAATGATCAGAAATAGTCAAAAGGACTAAAGACCATGACTAATCTGAAAGATCCAACTATAGTAGAACAAATAAAATCTCATTTTCCCTTGTTTATTTGGGATTCTTGAGAACTGAATTATTTCCAGTAAGTTAATTTTCTTGTGGAAGTTTATTCATGTAACCACCATGACATTTTTCATTTTAATGATTTTGATGTAGTTCTTCCTAATGTGGGCTTCACAATTTATAGCTTTCATATAGATGATATATTGAAAATAGTACAGACAGTGTTTCGGACTTTGCATCCTCATCATCATTAATATGTTGTTGTTTGGATTTTTAGCACTGCCAAATAATCTCAGTCCTGTTTGTCTTCTAAACACTCAGACAGCTGGACTCTTAAATGACTCTTTTAAGTTTTCTTCTCATTGCCAGAGTGTATCATTTTTTACTTTTGGCAACAGAAATGTGAACAACTGCTTTTCCTGTCCACAAAATATCCCTCTAGTTTATTGACTTACAAATCCCATGCCCTGGCAAAACAGAAACCTAAGTCAGTTACTATATTTTTAAGAAAGATGGAGACATTAAACCAAGTCATGCACTTAGTGACAGGTGTTCTAACCTTCCAAGTACTTAACAACTAACTTCCTCATTGCAGAGTATTCTCAGGGTGAAGACATATATTTTATTTTTATACTGTGATGCTTATTATTTTCCATCCTAGCTTTGGTGTCTTCTTACTGCTCTTAATTTAGGTATATGAATTCAGTTAAAGCAAACAATTGCTGGGTCTGGTAGCACAGGTCTGTAATCCTACCTAATTGAGAGCTAAGGCAGAAGAATCTCAAGTTCAAGGTATGCCTGGGCTATATACTTAATTCAAGGCTATGCTAGGTAAATTAATGAAATAAGAATAATGATAACAGTAACAAGAGAATTAGCATTATAGCTCAATGGTAAAGAGTTTGTCTCCCATATGAGAGACCTGGTTTCAATCCTTAGTGCTGGAAAAGGAAGAAAGAGATATTAAAATAACTAACAATAATCTTTCTTCCCTGAGACACAATGATAGTTTTATAAAATAGAATTTGAACTTGCTTAATAGAGAGAAAATATTCTTCTATGATATTTTGTGAGTGTTGTTCTGCTTTATTTTGCAGAGAAATCCTGATAAACATAACTAGGGGGAAGCTCATAGAACAGGAGCTCATAACCATTGCACGTCACTACCAAGTGCCTATAATCATGGATCCTGACATAACTTACTTAATTGCACAAGCCCATGAAAAGTTCAAGAAAAATATGTATGAGAATTTCGATGTATTCATTCATAACTGTGTGTATGAAGACAGACAAAAGTAAGCTTAATTTTACTGATTCTAATAAATCATTTAAATTTATGTGAACTTAAGTAGTAAAGGAATTTATTTATTTTCTGCAAATGAGAAAAAGAAAATTGACATGTTTCATCATACTGAACATTTTTAGCAAAACTTTCTTAAATCATAGGAGATGGGGAGGGATAGAAAAGATATCTATCTTAAAAAGAATAGGCTGCCCTCTTGAATTTTCATTTGTTTCTAGATGCTTTGACTAAAATACAGTAAATGAAGATGGTACAGAATTTAATAATGGGGTGTCATTTTTATTTTATTTTGGTACTAACTAGGATTATAAACTGTGGCTTTTGTAATACACAGGGCAAAAGACCTTGTAACTAAAATTTCTACAGATCTAGTAGGGGAGATATTTCATCTTAAAACTAATGAAAGTCTGTATGATCTACTTCTAAAACAAAGCCCATATATATTCAGTTTCATGAGGTCATTTTAAAAACCTTTTCCTTTTAAAAAGGATTTTTATTTTAATTTATATGTGTGTGTATGTTGTTTTTCTGGGCACATATGCATATCACTACAGTGTCTTTGGATATCAGAGGAGGGTGCTGAATCCCTTGGAGCTGGAGTTCTAAGTGACTGTGAATCACTGGCATGGGTACTGGAAATCTCTGAAAGAGGAGCAAGCACTTCTAACCACTGAGCCATCTCTCCAGCTCCAGATCATTTTTTATACACAGCTTGATATAGTGATCTTTATATATTTTGATTGTACATCTCAACATCTTTAATGCAAAGAAAGACCCCACTTTCCCTTTTGGGTTCTAATGTATGTACATGAAAGATTACTGTTCGGCTGAGAACACAGAAGAAATTTTTTTCTGTATAAAGTAACCTCTGGGCTTCCTGTAAAGAACATGACTTGATTCTGAGAAAATCAAAGTGAAGGCCCCAGTTGGGTTTGGGTCCAAGGAAAAGTCCATAAAAATACCCTCAAGTCATATTATAGTTGTGTTGGAGGCTCTAAATGCCTGTCAAATTAGGAGATGTTTTCAAATATCAAAACCATTTTGACCAGTGGTCAAGAATGCAGATCAATTACTTAGAGCAACACTCATGGCTACAGATTTAATATGCTGTACTATCACCAAGCAGGAATTGGAATCTGAATCTTGAAAGGCTTTTCTAAGGACACTCTGGTTACCCCCGAAGTGGAAAATATTGGTGATATGCAATATGATGACTGTTTTTCTTTACTTTCAATTCCAATGCCAGTTTTTCATACTTGCATTTTAGGATAGATCTCCTTTATATTTTCCTTTCTATAGCATGCAACTGTTGTTAACAGGACAAATAACACAAAAATCCCATTTACTTTCTTTAAATACAGAAAAGGTGTGTTACCCACCAAAGACATCAAAAGGATGTGCAAATCTTCCAGGTTACCTTTGAATGATGACCTTCTAGATAGCTTACTGTCCAGGTAAGTGGGAAGTGCCCTTTGAGGGAGTCTTCTCTTCATAGTTTTATTTGGGGGACTAGATTTATTTTGACTATTTATTTAAAACATGCTATAATTATTTATAAAAGTTATTTTTACATATATTATACCAAGCAAAAGTATTGCCTTTGCAAAATTCTTATTGGATCCATTTCTCTACTAAATAATTTTTACCAAAGAGTCCTTTGCGCTGAGAAGTACGTGGTTGAACATATGAAACAAGTAAAATATACTGATAAATTTCTGACAGATGATTCTGATGGCTGAAAATCTTTAGGATAGACCTGCACTTAAATCAAAGAAACTCAACAGCAGGAGAAATGAGAATCAGCGGGCAAGCTGTTTTTCTTCTGGTTGCTTTGTGTAGGGTCATTTAATCATGGTTCTGATTACTGTAATCAAAAGTGTACATGATATACCAAAAAGGTCTGCACTAATCCTTCTAGACCCTACTATCAGATAATAGGCCCAGAAAGTCCTTCCAGCTCCATCCTGTGCCAAACAGTCCCTGTGTTCTACTTACCAAGGAGCTTATTTAACAAGCATACAGTCGTGAGTTTATTAAATCTGTTCTCTAAGTATCATCTTTCTTTAAAATTCCTCTTTTGTCTGGCTGTCAGCAGTATAGGCAAACCTCCTGAGGGTACAGAGGTCCTAGGAAGTACCTCTGACTTACGGCATGAGCTTCAGCTTGCACGAGGAAGGCCTGTGTGCCCCAGTGACTGTCACTGGGGCAGTGGGTGCATATTTGTTTCATCTGGGTTTCCTTTCTTGTTCAGTTTGGGGGACTATCTTTGAGTATCATTGGTTTACTCTTGACTGTTCTGATCACATCATTGATAACTCACTTCCTTGTAAGTATTATGAAAAGAAAACTTTGTCATGATTTTCATTTATTTAATTAATTCAATTCTTTTAATTATAATAATACCTACTGTGAATTATTTTTCTTTTGGACATTAATGTTTATATGCACATGGGTTCCTGAGACAAAGGGAAACTTACAACTTTATTGGTTATGATATTTCCATAAAATTTACGTCAGGCTTTCACAACAGTAGTGCCCAGTGGCTAAAGATAAGCACTATGAAGACCTAGGGTTATAAGCATTTGTTTGTCTCCTCCTCTAGAGCCAGGTGAAAAACAGCGATGATGGCACCGTGAAAGGCACCATCTATACTGTCACCCATATTTTAGTCATTTACGCTTTCTATGCCTTAGTCTGAGTTCCCCTTCCTTGCCCTCTGACTTACATATCTTGATAATTCTGATGTTTTTTCTTTTGTGCCAGTATGATAAATGTTCCATGTACACTGTTCCATGTACTTTTTGATCACAACTTAGAGTGGAAAGAGCTATTACCTCTCCTATTTCTACATGAAATATTAAGGTTTAGAGAAAGATGGTATTTTGCTCAAGATCACAATATTCTAGAAGATCTGTAACCTTACCATTGAACCTTCCAGTTTTAACATCTTCTTTCTAATGGTTTTGAATTATTGTCTACTAATCAGCATACTAGGATGCCTTGACAATTCTGCAGCATTCTTCCACTGCCTGCCCCTACACGTTCAAGCTGCACAATCTTGCCAGTTTGGACACTCCACATTGTCTCTAACCATCTTTGAACTCACTTAAAGCTGTGCAATCTTATCCAAGGGAAAGCTCGACTTTCCCTTTCCTCTAAAAAAGGATAACCAATTTACTTCCTAGTATTTACATCCTCTGAGTTCTGAGGAGTCCCTGAGATAACATACGGAACGTATATGGCCCAACACCTGGTTCTCTTGGCTGAGAATTAAAAGCAAGGCTGAACCAGAGGTCACAGTTCATATAGTGAACCTCAAAACTAAACTGGAAGGAGCCTGTGTCTTTTATGGAGGGAGCCCTGTTTGTGACAGTTGGATGCTTTTCATACATTAAGCTGTCTTTTAGTCAGGAAGCTGCAGATCTTTATTAGATTATCTCTTGATGGGCTTGAGGATGAGTTCTTCTGGAAAGTTCAGTGATGTGGGAGCCTGGCCCTTGGAGGACTCAGAGTACTTACCCAATGCTAAGGCCACCAACCCATCATCCTCACATTCTCTTAGCAGACTATTTTGTCTTTGCCTTTATGATTTGACATTAAATTTAAAAAGACTATTCTGCAACTTGTTTTGGAATCTGTCTCAATCTCTGTATGTCTGCCTCCAAGCTTGGCTTAGCTTTGAGGGGGTCATGCCTCTCTGCTGCTGAGCAGCCCATGTTCAGTCTTGCTTTGCCTGTAATTGTGCAGTGACCCTTCTCCATACTCAGGGGAAACTTCAGACTAATCAGATTAGAAAATGGCTCATTCCCATTCCCCTCTCCATCCAATGTGCCCTACCATGATTTGGGTCACATGCTTGGTGTTTTGCGTCATCTCCGCAGATTCCTTTCAAAGACTGCCCTAATTCCTAATGGGCCCATCAGCCTGCAGCTTACATTTAGATTCTGCATTCTTATTGTTCCCCACAGACTGCACAAGGCTTTACAGAGCCTTGACAAGAGTCTCTGTCTGCACAGCCCTACTCATGGCACACTAAACCAGATCCCACTTTGACGTCTGCAGTCTCCCATGGGAGGAAGGCATGGAGCTTGTTGTTTTCATTCGATGCACACTGTGCCCAGGGTAGGAGGGAGATTTACCTGCCTTATGATGAGACTGAGTAGCTGTTGTGCTGTGTGAATTCAGATCACAAACTGAAAGGCACTATGGCTAAACAATAGGGTGCACCTTTCTACCTAGTGACAGTTATCCAGGCATTTTTCTTACCCCTCTGTTTGGTGGTAATATTTCTCTTCTGTTTCATTCCTTTTGTCCTTAGAACTCAGCCAGGTTTTTTTTTTCCTTATTAGTACAACCAAAACTTCAATGTAGACTTTACAACAGTCTTCTCAGGCAGTTGCTTCAGGCCCTGCAGTTTGCATTGTAAGAGCTGGTATGAATTCATCTTAGTCACCACCCGAGTTCGTTTCACTAATGGGTGGGTTTCAGCTGTGTGCAGTGGTGGCTAGTACCCGCTAATAACAGTGGTGATACTATGCTTTGTGAAGAGCATGGTAATAGCTGTATTTTACTTGATGATGGGCATTAGTCATTATTTCATAAGTGCAAGCTTTGAGATACGAGGAGAGTCCCTGAAAACAGGTTCTCAAGGCCAAGGTGAATTTCAGAGTTGCAACTCTACATGATAGCCTAAACCTTGCTTCCATCCAAGCTCCTAGAGATAGGACTCTGGCGCCTCATCTTTGAAGCCTTGGAAACTTGTTCTACGCTGCTTTGTCATATGTGTGTGGAACCCACAATACCTGCCTCTAAAATCTGACTCAGCTGTTCCCTGGCTATGTAGTCTTTGCTTATTCAACCCCTGTGAATCTGTGTTTAGATGAGCATGTTTCTTAGTATTTGGCTTCTTAAAGCTCAAAAGATGGAGGGAAATATGAGGTCATTCCATCTTGTGTTCCTTGTAGAACTAGAGAGTAAAAAGGTGGTCTTCTCTTATTCTGACCTTCTGAAACTAGATGGGGAATTCAAATTCAGTCTTATCCCAACAGCTCTGCCTCAAGCGAGTCTTTTATGGCTGGCTTTGGGTCCTATGGAATGCCTCAGAACTGGCCTCCCAAGAGAGCTGGTGCCTCATCCAGAAAGATCAGTTAAAATGGAAAAAGTTAACAGGGCTTTAAAATCATCTCATTACGCTTTGCCCAGCCCTGCCCCCACTTGGAGGCAGGCCTTAGCCTCATGCAGTTTTCCCCAGCAGTACCTAGCAGTTTGGCTGAAAGGCAAGCATTGAGCCATGTGGCTATTGTTTTGCAATGTTTTGTGTGCTTGTGAGGGTTTCATAGAGGAAGACTTGCTTTCTCTTTCTGTTTCTCCTACTGCTCTTTTCCCTCTGTGCCTGTCACTCCTTCATCCTCGTGGTGTTTACATGCATACCCAACTAGAGGCTTTCTGCAGGTTCAAATACAGGATGATTTGAGGTTGAAAAAACGTGAAAGAACCTCACACCATTTGAGTCGATCAATAGAGAACTGACTATCTGTGCAGGCCATATTTGGCAGCTGCTCCCTACTTCACCAGGCACCCCTCTGCTGGATACAGAATTTCAGTGTAGAGACCTGGCTACTTAGAAGTAACCAATTGCTTCCTGTCAGCCCCAATGATGATATCTGGTCAACTGCACCCCCACGGTTGTCCCGACCTTCTGTTTCCTTGTGTATCTGGTGTCACAGACTTCCACCAGGTGTTTCAGAGTAGATTTCCTGGATTCTGTGGTAATGAACACAAACTAAGTGCAACTATGAGTCAAATTGGGGCTTCACTGCCTTTTTCTCCTATCTGGACCATTTCCTAAGCACTGAGGTAGCTAGTGCAGCAGAGGAGGGCAGGTTCCTCTTCAAGGCAATACAGCCTCCACTAAGCCTTCTACCTCTGTGGAGGGTGGGAATAAAGCAGCACAGCATTATTCCCTGTGGCGAGGGGGTGGCTGGCTTCTGCACTTTTTGAGCTATTCATCATTCTTGGGAAGAGGAGCATGAACATCAGTCAGATTATCCCATTAGACTCACTTCTAAGAACTCCCACCTCGCAAGGCCCCAAGAGGCATGTTTGGGGCCATTATTATTTAGAGAGGAACCAGAGAGATTGCCTTCCCTCCCCCTTTCTTCACAAACATGTCTCTTAGTTTGTGTAGGGAAGGAATTGGTGGCTTGCCGGAACATCAAAGGGAAAGAAGAATTTATGGCGGCTTTAGGAAAACACTTTAGCACTGTGAGCTGGCACTTGAAAGTAAGGAGGCTGACTTTTTAACAAGCATAGAAACACTTAAAAGCCAGAATTAGCCTTGCCCTTTAGGGCAGTCACCCTGGAAGGCTGTGCACTGATTCCAACAATGTTGCCATAGAAAGTTCTTCTTTGGAATTGGCTTCAAAGCCCTTTCAAATGAGTTTCTTCCTGAGTG